AAACTACATCCGCCTCCTGGGTAAGACGATAAACTAAATCCGCCTCCCGGGTAAGATGATTAACTACATCCGCCTCCTGGGTAAAACGATAAACTACATCCGCCTCCTGGGTAAAACGATAAACTACATCCGCCTCCTGGGTAAGACGATCAACTACATAATAGATCTGTAGTCGGTCAGATGTAAAGTAAGGCGTCTGGATAGGCATGTTGTAGTGTAACCGATGTAATTATTTATGAATTCGGTTTGATTAGTGAATTTGCACGTAAGTGAATGTAACAAATTCGACTGTAGCCATCATGTGAAGACGAGAAAACGCGATATTTAAAAATGACGTGAGAAGAAAAAACGCGATGTCAAAATGATGAAACCGACATAACGCAAAAAAAAAGTGTATTATTTTTTAACAATGCAGAAAATAGTTTCGAGCACCTGTTTTGGAGTAAAAAAGGTGAATTTTGTTTACTTTTTCTTTCCTTTTTTTTATAATTATTTCACTCCAAGGAAAGCGATAAATCCACTGAGACACACAGGGTTACCTGGACTGAAAAAGAATAAGAAGACTTTTTGTGGAGAAACGATAACAAAAAAAAAACGGGTTTCAGGAGATGGTGATTGGCGTTGCATTTAAAGTTTTGAACACCCTTAATATATATGAGCTATGATAATTTAATTTCTGGAATGGTTCTGGGCAATGTTGGCTTACCTAATCTCTCTAATCAGTGATCAGGGAGAATAGAGATCATACGACAACATGGCAGTGAAACATTAAGCAGGAAAAGTGTAAAGCAAGTGAGAAGCGTAAGAAAAAGAATTATTATAAAACATACGGTTGCAACTAACTAGTTAAAAAGTAAAATGGGGAGACCTCATTGCAAATCTAGCAGAACGCTTAAATTCAAGCAGTTGAGGTACCAAGGAATAGAGCTCTTATGAGAACAATTTTCATGAAAATATTTATTAAAAAAAAGACAGAGTATTCATGGCGGTGGGAAAATAACGTCGAGATGCCAGGTCAGGACCGAACTTATTGCAGACCGTTCTTTGGATTTTAGAGTTGAGAAATGAATTTTGTTACCAATATAATAATCCTGACCATGCAGCGTATGCCGTTTGTTAGTTCCTGACTAAGGAATCCATTGCCGAAAAGAGTTATCTACCTTATTCAACATATTAAGTCCTCTTTTGGATTTTGGCGGTTTGCAAAATTGAAATACTACCGGAAAGGCCAAGCCTTTACTGACATACGGCAAACTGTGACTACATAACTTAAAAGTAATCTGGTAAACGTTTTCTCAAAAATGCAACCATCGTCGTTAGAATAATTTAACAGAGAGAGTAACTTAAGGAGGATAGTAGCCGAGAGTGATTACGTAAGCCAACTTTGCCCAGAACTATTCCAGAAATTAAATTATCATAGCTCATGAAGGGTGTTCGGAACTCTTTCCGCTTAAATATATTCCCTATATTTAATTATATATATATATATATATATATATATTACACAAAAATTCTAATCTTGTTTGTTTGTTCCCTAGACACAGCTCACACGATACATAAAACCCAACCAATTCTAGAGCATAAAGTACCTTGAAGCCATGCTGTGTACAGTGCCAAATTTTATTAAAATTAGACAAGCGATTCTTGAGCTTATCTGTTAACAAGATGTTTTTAATAGGAAACTCAGTATTTATTTTAGATAGATATCAAAACGCGTATATAAACACACTTGCATATTATATTGCAAGTATTATGTGTGTGACAAACAATAAACAGTCATCATATATTATAACAACTACTTATCTATCTATATATATATATATATATATATATATATATATACAACAACTTATCTATCTATATATATATATATATATATATATATATATATATATATATATGTTTTGAAACATGAGACTTCTTATGCAGCGATTTGGAATCATATTTTTAAATAAATAATTATATTTATGCTCTACTTTTGTATCGAGCACTATTTTTTTAAAAATAATAACTAAAATACTAAGGGACTTTGGATTTTTACCTAACCAGTTCCTTCCTATTTTCTATATATTTTATATATATATATATATATATATATATATATATATATATATATATATATATATATATATAAATTCTCAGAATTAACCTGTCGAAAAAGACAATATTTATAAAGGTAAATGACAATAGGAAACGCGTTTTGTCCAATGTGGACTTTTTCAAGGCAAAATCGGAATGAATTTATTAAAACAATGTAACTATTAACAACAAAACAAAATGTTCCATAGCATCTAGAAGAATTTAGAAAATTCATATTGTCAACTAAAAATTTACGTCAAGTACTCTCACGTGTGGAAATATTGTTTTTATTGTTGTGTTGACGGATTCAACACGCCAATAATTTCCACACGATCCAAGCGTGTAACAATTTTGCAAAGTGCATGAAAAACCATACTGCGGGTTGAGCCAAGCTTTGTGAGTGAAATTGGCCAGACGGAACCCTTGGAGGCTGTCGATAGCTGTGCTAGCACGAAGTCACAAGTCATCGTGACCGAGGGCTCTAGCGTCCTGGCCTTGTTCACATTATTGTTCACGCTAGATAACACGCTCATTCCCAGAAACTGTAATTAAGATTTTCGTTACAGAGCAGACGTCTGCAACAGGGATTGACTAGCTGCCCTAGTATCCGGGTATTCTCGAATATGAGTGGCCAGCTATTATTATTATTATTATTATATTCTTATAAAACACTAAAACTCTAATCTTGTATGTATGAATAAATGTTTGTTTCCAAGATACAGCTTAAACAATACATAATAGCCTAACCAATTTAGTACCATGTACTTTTAACCACTGCCGAGGGAAGTGCCAAATGCCATTAAAATTTAAACAAAGGATTCTTGAGCTAAGGACTTTTTTTCTGTTTTTACTGCCTTTTTAATAGGAAATTTCAGTATTTGTTTTCCATACACGCTCTTAGATCAATCCGCGTATATAAACACACATTTGCATATTTTATTCTAACTAATATGTGGGTGAACAATAATAAATATTCATAATATATTATACACTACATTATTAAATAAATGTAAATATAAATAACACAACATATACAATTCCCTACACTGCATTAGAGCTTATTTATAAACAACGTTTGGCAACTACTTGATAAGTGAAGAGTCTATGTGAATGTGTTATTGCAAAACAATCAGTATAGCTTCAAAATTTGTCACATGACTTGATGGTAAATAAATAAGTAAGTAAATAAATACAGCCTATTTGCGGCTGTTACGTATTTTGGAAATAAATGTTAGACGGAAATTATGTATAATAAAAAATATTATTATTATTTTGAAAAAAAAAAAAGACATAGAAATACAAAAAACCTAAGTGCACAAAAAGGAGGTTTTCATAGTTTCTGTTATCTTAAATAGATGAATTTTACTTTTTTGTTGTTGGTTTTTTATGATGTTGACCGTTGAAAATTATAATATGGTAAATACTAAAATGTGTACAAATTCTTACGTCGGGATTACTATTACTGGAATAGAAAGGGCTTTCGTGTGATATCAGTTTGCAATTGCATTCAAAAAAGTAAGCTATTTCTTATTATTTTCTTATTGCGTTTGATGTAAGAAATATTGTATAAGGTGAGTAATAATAATTATGACAATAACTTGTATTGCAATACAAATTAAAATATGTGTAATTAATAATAAAAATGATAATATTGTTACCTCATAATTTTGTTTCAGGAATTCCTTTTAAAAGGATCCCAATGTGTTTATGTGTTGTAGAGTTATTTCGCAGTGGAGGCTTGTATTTGTACTAAATCGGTCCTAAATAGTTCGACGCACAAAACATTAAGAACTTGATATAATAGGTATTACGCAGAGTAATCTAGTTGTGGTCGCTGATTACTTTCGTGTTCGACTAACTGTCGACTACTGTCGCCCGACATCGACTGACCCTCGTTTCTCTTACTACTCCTATTTATATTAGGTGGGAGAGTCTATTAACTATAGAATAGGTGTCTTTCACCATAACATTATGAATTGTCCAGTAATATATTTGTGGAACCCAGTTACAGAATTATAGAAAAATAAAGTTTTAAGTACTGGAATCTCATTTTTAGTACAAGACTGTTTCAGACAGATATTAACTGATTTTGCTAAAAGGGCCGGCTCCGAAAATTTGAATTTTTTGTATTCAGATATATTAACCAATCAGCAACGTTCTATGTGATACGCGGTTACTTTGAATCTGTGGATGATTGAAAACTTTTTGTTTGCTACGAAATTTGGAGGAATCACTTCAGCAATATTTTCTTTTCTTAAAATGGCTATTTAAAAATTGAGAAAAAATTTATCAACCAATAAACTTGAATGTAATAAATATAATTTTTGTTTTGTTTTTCTGGAACCGATATTTCGTTATATACTTAATGAATTAAACTTTGACCAGAGATTTCGTTTGTTTTATTATATAAATTGAAATTCTTACACTGAATTAATTACTCGGATTTTCGCGTATTTATTCTAGTATATTATATGATACAAAATGCTTAGCGATATTGACACATAAAAACGCGCAGACTATGTTTGTTTACGAGCGTCAAGAGTAGGAAAGCTTCCTGCTTATCTCACGCGGCCGACAATTTATACATATACATAAAACAACATTTATCCGTATCACACACATTTTCACATATAGACGCAATTCATTCAGTGTGACTGTAACAAAAAATAGACAAAATATTTTGTGTTTCGCAAACAATCTTTGTAATTCATTTCTTTAAATTTGAAAGAAAATAATGCTCAAATAGAAATAATAAAATTTGTAGAGTCGTGCATTTTGTTGCTTTATACACGCGTAATCCGTTACACACACACACACACACACACACACACACACACACACACACACACGCATACACACATACCTATATCATCAAACGCAGTCTAGATCATAGAGTTATTGTGAAATCGAAAATCATTTCCATGGGTATATATTATCTGATTTTGAATTCAAAGTTTCTTTCACCTAGAGTTATCTATTTATATATCTATCTATATATCCTATTTTCTTCCATATTCTATCTATCTATGGTAATTTACCAAGGCCCGCATGTCCTCTCTCAGCTATAAATAGGAGCAGGTACTGCCTTTTGGAGAGGGAAGTTTCCAGTAGTCAGCTCTGAGAGTAGGACCGAACATTCTGGCTGTAACACTCTTGTGTGTATATGTTTGTATTACTGTTTCTGTTAATATGTTTAACTCAATTCCTCTCTTTGTGAATTTATTTCTGGGCCTAACAAGGCCACAACGCTATCTGTGTACCTCATTCTGTTAACATCTATCTATCTATCTATCTATCTATCTATCTATCTATCTATCTATCTATCCCATTTTCTACAATATCTATCTCATTCTGTTCACATCTATCTATCAATCTACATATCTCTCTCTCCCTATCTCTCTCTCTCTCTCTCTCTCTATATATATATATATATATATATATATATATATATATATATTAAAAAGAAGAGAGATACAGCAAACGTTTTTGGTTGTAATGTGGATTATTATTATTTTTTTTCATTTCAAGAGAGAAATTAGGATTACTAACATAAAAAGAAAATGTCTCATATCAAGAATATTTAACATCGGAAAACATATTAATTATTTTTAATAATATGGGGAAATCTCCACCCTTACCTGATGACGGTCTCGAGACCAGAAACGCGTGTAGTAAAATTATGGAAAATAAATCATAATATTTAAAAAAAAAATACACATTACAACCGAAAAGTTAGCGGTATCTCTCTTCTTTTTAATATACACACTTTTCTCTCGTTGGAACAACTATAAAACTCTTCCCTTATATATATATATATATATACACGCATATATATATATATATATATATATATATATATATATATATATATATATATCATTTTCATCCATTTCTATCTATCTATCTATCTATCTATCAAGCAAAATGTGTATTGCAATATTAAAATTCTCACACACATACGTACAGTCATATACAGACGCAGGCATATTTCTTACACTCCATTCCGAAGAAGCCTATCTAACGAAGGCGAAACACGGACTTTATAAAGCAGTTTCCTACTTTGTCTGATTTATCAAAAGTCGTGTTCGGATTGTATCTTCTGTATTGCGTCTCGGTTGCTTTATCGATTTGCGAAATGTGGTGAAATGATTATATATATAATCATTTCACATAAAATGTATATATATATATATATATATATATATATAAGATGAAAAGCTTATAGATATAGATACAAAGAACATACATTTGATCTCAGCTACAGACACCGAGACTCTAAGACCAATATTCTGTTATAACTATCCTCTTTGAATACCAGTTCAAACGTATAGACTGGATGTGGCGAATGAAATTTCCCGGAGCTTTTCTTGGACTTCCTTCCATCGTGTCAAAAGAACGGAGTCCGGATCTTCTTATCCTGATCATTGGAAGAAATAATCATTTTCCCAAGCAAAAGGACAATCATAAACTAGGAATTTCTAATGAACATTTTTCGCGACTGTCTATTAATTAGAATTTCAGATTGCTTGATCACGAAACCAATTGAACAGACCCAAACGTTAAAAAAAAAAGAAGAAGAAGAAGAAGTGAAAAGTGAGCTAGCTGCCTCAGATTTCACTTTCAGGGTTTCGTTTTGGAGCCCATGAATAACCGGCATTTCAAATCCTGATTTTCAAGGCAATCTCTTTGGTGTAACATAAACTTCTTGCTCCGTACTTATTCTTACATTGTCCTGTTTGCCCAATCTTCTTTAGAGTAGAAATGGAGATCTCTATGGTCCTTTAGGATAGAGTGAGGCGATTGTATAGCCCTAGAGGATAGCCCTGTCTCTTGAGATTCTTAAAATAAAGGATAGATTAGAAATGGAGATCTTTAGGCTCATTAAGTATATTATGAAATGGAGATCTGTATAGCAATTTTGCCCTCTATCCGTCTGTAGTGTAATAGAGATTTTCCAAATGGAGATCTTTAGAGTAATATAGGATAGAGTAGAAATGGAGATCTGTAGAGTTCTAGAGGATAGAGTAGAAATGGAGATTGTATAGTAATTTTTTTAGGTAAAATGGAGATATGTATTTAATCACATAGTTGGGTCTGTATAGAATAGAGGATAGAGATGGAGATCATACAATTATAGATTAGAAATGGAGATCTGTATGTAATAGGATATTGAAATGGAGATATTATAGAAATGTTCGGATAGAGTAGAAATGGAGATCTGTATAGTAATAGAGGATATACAAATATATGTATAGTAATAGAGGATAGATTGAACAATCTGTATAGTCATAAAGGATAGAGTAGAAATGGAGATCTGTAGAGTAATAGAGGATAGAGAAATGGAGATCTGTAGAGTAATAGAGGATAGAATAAAATGGAGATCTGTATCAATAGAGGATAGAGTAGAAATGGAGTCTGTATAGTAATAGGATAGAGAATAAATGGAGATCTGTATAGTAATAGAGGATAGAGTAGAAATGGAGATCTGTAGAGTAATAGAGGATAGAGTAGAAATGGAGATCTGTATAGTAATAGAGGATAGAGTAGAAATGGAGATCTGTATAGTAATAGAGGATAGAGTAGAAATGCAGATCTGTATAGTAATAGAGGATAGAGTAGAAATGGAGATCTGTAGAGTAATAGAGGATAGAGTAGAAATGGAGATCTGTATAGTAATAGAGGATAGATTAGAAATGGAGATCTGTATAGTAATAGAGGATAGAGTAGAAATGGAGATCTGTATAGTAATAGAGGATAGAGTAGAAATGGAGATCTGTATAGTAATAGAGGATAGAGTAGAAATGGAGATCTGTAGAGTAATAGAGGATAGAGTAGAAATGGAGATCTGTATAGTAATAGAGGATAGAGTAGAAATGGAGATCTGTAGAGTAATAGAGGATAGAGTAGAAATGGAGATCTGTAGAGTAATAGAGGATAGAGTAGAAATGGAGATCTGTATAGTAATAGAGGATAGAGTAGAAATGGAGATCTGTAGAGTAATAGAGGATAGAGTAGAAATGGAGATCTGTATAGTAATAGAGGATAGAGTAGAAATGGAGATCTGTAGAAATGAGGATAGAGTAGAAATCTGTATAGTAATAGAGGATAGAGTAGAAATGGAGATCTGTATAGTAATAGAGGATAGAGTAGAAATGGAGATCTGTAGAGTAATAGAGGATAGAGTAGAAATGGAGATCTGTAGAGTAATAGAGGATGGAGTAGAAATGGAGATCTCTATAGTAATAGAGGATAGAGTAGAAATGGAGATCTGTATAGTAATAGAGGATAGAGTAGAAATGGAGATCTGTAGGATAGATTAGAATATAGTAATAAAGGATAGTAATAGAGGATAGAGTAGAAATGGAGATATGTATAGTAATAGAGGATAGAGTAGAAATGGAGATCTGTATAGTAATAGAGGATAGAGTAGAAATGGAGATCTGTATAGTAATAGAGGATAGAGTAGAAATGGAGATCTGTATAGTAATAGAGGATAGAGTAGAAATGGAGATCTGTAGAGTAATAGAGGATAGAGTAGAAATGGAGATCTGTAGAGTAATAGAGGATAGAGTAGAAATGGAGATCTGTATAGTAATAGAGGATAGAGTAGAAATTGAGGTCTGTAGAGTAATAGAGGATAGAGTAGAAATGGAGATCTGTATAGTAATAAAGGATAGAGTAGAAATGGAGATATGTATAGTAATAGAGGATAGAGTAGAAATGGAGATCTGTATAGCAATAGAGGATAGAGTAGAAATGGAGATCTGTATAGTAATAGAGGATAGAGAAAATGGAGATCTGTAGAGTAATAGAGGATAGAGTAGAAATGGAGATCTGTAGAGTAATAGAGGATAGAGTAGAAATGGAGATCTGTATAGTAATAGGGATAGAGTAGAAATGGAGATCTGTATAGTAATAGAGGATAGAGTAGAAATGGAGATCTGTATAGTAATAGAGGATAGAGTAGAAATGGAGATCTGTATAGTAATAGAGGATAGAGTAGAAATGGAGATCTGTATAGCAATAGAGGATAGAGTAGAAATGGCGATCGTTATAATAAAGGATAGATTAGAAATAGATCTGTATGCCTAGAGGATAGAGTAGAAATGGCGATCTGTATAGTAATAGAGGATAGAGTCGAAATGGACATCTTTATAGTAATAGAGGATAAATAACATCTTGTTTAATAGAGGATAGAGTAGAAACATTCTGTAGAGTAATAGAGGATAGAGTAGAAATGGAGATCTGTAGAGTAATAGAGGATAATGAGAAATGGAGATCTGAGTAATAGAATAGAGTAGAAATAGCCGATCCTATATAAATAGAGGATAGACAAGAAATGGAGATCTGTAATATTAATAAAGGATAGACTAGAAATGGAGATCTGTATAGTAATAGAAGATAGAGTGACTAATGGAGATCTGTTTAGTAATATGGATAGAGTGGAAATAGCGATCGTTATCGTCAAGATACTTTCTACTTATGCCTGTGTTTGCTGAATGGCGATCTATGTTCAAACCCAAGTGTCGGCAGCGACACTTTATTTCTAAATAACATCTTGTTTCACCCTTGGGGAAACATTCTTGGCATATAAGAGCATGAAGTGTTAGTAACCCGTCTAATGATCCGAATAGAGAAATAGAATAGTGTAGACAATAGCCGTCCTTATATAAATAGAGGATAGACAAGAAATAGCAGTTAGTAATAAAGGATAGACTTTTCTTGCGATCCTTAGAAGTCACGTACTATTATACGTTTAGATTTTCCGGTTACGTGGTCTAATTAATTCAATAATGGGATAGCCTGTGTTTGCTCACTGGCGATCTGTGTTCAAACTCAAGGGTTAGCAGAAACATATTATTTCTATATAGCACAGTAAAAAAATCTTCTGTGGGTCCGCATTTCTGTTGCTTCAAGTCTTCTCTTCATCTTTGAGGAGATCGTCCATCATTCACTGCCGTACAGGAAGAACAGATATCACATAGCAATTTAGTTCTCTTTCTTTCCTATTTCTTACTATTCTGCTTAGATTTTGGAATGTTTCTTTGGCTATCCCAATAAGCTTTCGGATTTTAGTGTCACTCTTTCCATCGTCCTCTGTTAAAACACTTCCCAGATATTTAAAAATTTCTGTAGAACCACATTTCAGTTGCTCCATGTCTTCTCTTCATCTTTGAGGAGATCGTCCATCGCACACTGCCATACAAGCAGAACAGAAATCCCATAGCAGTTTAGTTCTCTTTTCTTTGTTTCCTATTTCTTACTATTCTGCTTAGATTTTGAATACTTCTTTGGCTATCCCAATAAGCTTTCGGATTTCACTGTGACCCTTTCCGTGCTCTGTCAAAACACT